GAACAATAAACATATACGTATTGATACATATACATGTATAGTATAGTGTTAGCTGTTTGTGCTCCAATACTTACCGCGCATTGATCACCACAATAACGCCCTAATTGGCAGGGACATCGCATGGTGAGAGTAGCCGGATTCTTTTCACAGATGTTGCACACTTCGGTCGCATTCCACTGCGCAAACATCTTGTCAAGATTCAAGTAGTCTTCTCCAATGCTCGAGCCGAATGCGATAGTTTCTCGTTTCTTCGTTTCAATATGTTTTGTTTGGAAGTGAATCATGTGGTCTTGTACATCTCTAAGCCACACATATACATATTGGGCCACACTGTATTCAGTATTACTTTCACCGCAATACAAAAATATTCATATTAGCGTTGATGTGAATATAAAAATGCCTTAGAATTCCAGAACAATTCCTTATAAGAATAATAAAATTATTACTAGTTATGTGTACGTCAGCTCAAGAAGGACACGATGAACAGCAGAACTCTGAACAAGAGCCTATGGAACAACTTTTCGTCCAGTCTTTGTGGTTTGAATTTGAACTTTGAATGAACTCAAAACTGTGAGCAACTGCGCGTCTGCGAGTCTGTGTGACTGTGAGTCTGACAGTCTGTGACTGTGAAGACTGCGTGAGAGTGTGAACTGTGAACAGGGACTGGGAAGCGTGAACTGAAACAGAATTTAGAACTGTTGTGAAGTGGACTGACGTCCGGTAGACTCTGGATTTGGACTCTTGGAGTCTGTAAATACTCGTGGTCAGTGGTAAATATTTACCATTGTGCTCAAAGTTTTGTCCCATAGCCTTCTAATAATTTCTATCAGCGTATCACTACTGTTATGATTCAGAGGGGACTATGGATATTCTAAAAGACTAATACCAAAATGCCCGTTACAAAAATATGCGTTAAACGTCAATAGAAAATAACAGTATCTATTTAAAAATAAAAAAAGTAAATATAGTACACTATGTCCGAGCCTGAGGGCCCGAGCCCCGAGGCCGGAACGATTTTGTCCAGATGCTTCTAATACCACAGTCATACCTCTTATATGTCCACCTCTTTAAGGTGTCTACCTCTTTATATGTCCAATTTCTATTTTGGCCAACCCCCTATATATGAGTCAGGTCCTTTTAGACCGGTCCTGCAGCCTGCTCTTGGACGTCCGACTATTAATATCGCTGATTGGAACTGAGCAATTCAGGAGCTAATTGCTCTTTTTTAAATCACTGCGGTCAGACCGTCAGAGGGTCGGTGAGACTCAGACTCTGGGGTCATTCGTATATTTATCTTTTAAAAAAAGTTTTTACAAGTGTGAATATTTCACCTTTCACCATAGCTTGACGGTAGCTTTATCTATAATACATACACTAGAGTACGTACTACAATAGATCCTGATGGGAGACACTTCTAGTGGTGAACGCTGTTGTGCGAAAGAATGCACTACAACGCACCCAGTGGGTGGTGTATATAAATGTGCTGGTTGCGATCGAAGTATGCATGCCTTTTGTGGCGTGCATCTTGGTGAGGGGTATGGCTCAAATTCAATCGGTTACTGCCTGTCTACAGATAAGAGCCAGCCACCGGATGACATGTGGGAGTCTGGTTTCACTAATAACAGACAGACAGAGCCAGACGAATTGACACAAAACGCACCTACAACGATAGATAAGCTCACTTTGGTAAGAAGAAGAAAACATATAAACAGACTGTATTATCAAATGTGAGCTCCAATACAACAAAAAGAATCAATCTAATAAACAAAGTTAAAGATGTCATCGTGCGTACAATCCAGAAAGCGGGATACAGCTTAGACCTATCATGGAAAGACAGCTATCGTAAGGATTTAGCTAAGGAGGCCGTGCGGGTAGCGCATGCATCATTCGTCGTCAGTATCAAAACAATAAGAAGGTTCATGGAGTCTGGAGAGAACATAGTCAGTCTTATGAGGTGTATGCAAAAAAGAAATATCGAGAAAGGAGAGGAACACATCACGAGTTCGAGAAGCGTTTGATTGAGTGGGTCGGTAAATAAGGTTTAGGGAAGCTGGTTTTAGTGTAAGTCAGCGCTTGATCGTCACGGCTTGATCGTCACGAAAGAGGTATTTGATGAAAGCGCCTAGAATACCTCCTGGTGTGACCCATACTCCCTTAGGTTGGACCCCGAACCTGATGGGATGAAACTGACCCAGACTTGTCTTACCTCTTTATATGTCCAGTTCCCGGGATTGGCAAATATTTGGACATATAAAGAGGTATGATTGTACCCAGACATATAAAGAGGCATGATTGTACCCAACACAGTACCCAGTAACCATATCCCATTTAAAAATATCCCTCACGGCCCACGGCCACCCCCGCCTGTTTTTTTAAAAATAAAAATAAATATATGCATATGATACATACATAAATACATACAGTATTTTTATAAAAATACAAATTGTTTTAGAAAAACCTATTAGTCCACCCTCTATCTTAAAAATAATAATAAAAAAGACATTCGAAAATTGAAAGATAAATAAAGCAAAAACACAGAGCGTATTGTTTGTAGAAAATAGTAATAAACGTTGAACACAAATTTAAATTAAAAAATGGCCTGGCGCCTGGGACCCTCGGTCCGTTCACACATGTGCCGCCACTTCCCACTCCCAGCAGGACCCAGACTCCCAGACTCCCATTCCCCAGAGGGCCAGGCGCCAGTCGCCAACTTCCAAGTGCCACATAGAGTATTTAACTATTTATATTTTATTTATACTTATTATTCTCTTCGAGTTGAAAGATCCTGGCACAGGCTTCATGGAAGAGTTGCTACCAATGCAAAAATACCAATCACGTTTTTTATTTGTAAAATAAATGGTATCAAATTGTCAATAGTCCATGCAGACTCAGCAGTTCGCGCGTCACATGACTGATGCCTGTAGGTTTTAACTTTTACCGCTAGCTCGCTATGCCCAAATGCGCCGTTGCAAGTTCTCGTATCAAATCTCACTTCTCACTTCATTACACATGTGTGATGGACAATATATGTATTTTAAAAACTGTATTTATTTAAATAAATAAATACGTCCGTTTGACCTTTTGGCCAATCCTAGTGAATAATTTCTGTACAATCGTATGTCAATACTGCATGTCTAATTTAGAAGGCTATGGTGTGTATCAGTTCCTATTTTAATTTTATAAAGACCTATACATATATTAAATACATAAGTGACTATGATATATATGAGAAGGATATTTTGGGAGGCTGACTTTTGTGTATTCTATTTCGAAGACAATATATTTTTATTTATTTGAAGATACTGATCATTTACCAGAAGCACCCGAGAGCTGTATTCACTTGTTCTATTAGTAGCGGTTTTATACACCAAATAAAGACACTGTTACTAGTAGACAGAGCAGTGTACAGATGAAAAGGTCCAATAAAAATATAGAGGTCGTTTAGAAATGCATATTCATATTCTATTACATGACGTTAATGTACAGTGCTAAATTAGACAATCTATATATATACTGAATCAGTTTCCTTCCAGAATGTTGGCGGCTTTCGACTAAAACAACATATACAAGCTTGCATGCATCATCTACATCTTCATTGGCGACCAGATTTGAAAGCGCATTCTTTAAACGAGACATGGAGAGATATATCTAAACCGAAAAAAGTTTTAATTACAGGGATATACAGGTTTAGACAATTTTGGACTCAGCACAACTTCACTATATCCGCTACAAAGTAATGTTAAGAATTCGACTATAGTACGATGACCATACAAAGTACTGATAATGCAAAAAAAAATATATATATATTTAAAAAACCACACCGACCACTTTGTTAAGTGTTCTTCCAATGACTAGTGATATGATGCGCTTTATAATAGACTTTCCAGTCCTTTGTAGAATATTTATATTCTATTTATAGCCGCGTTCGTAGCGAATGAAAATATCCTGGTGTCCGAGCTGCCGTGCTAACTACTGTAAATCTTTAACCTTTAATTATACAAGAGGGACAGAATGAATATCAATAGGTCCATCGGACAAAAGAGAAATTAAAATTCTCGAGAGACAGTATAGTATCGCTATACTAAAAAAAGGGTGATCATGTAACTCGGATAGATATATTCTAGAGCCAGGATGATATTTCACATGCTCGACGGGCAGTACAATAAACACCAAATATAAAGAGTGAAGTAATTAGTAAATTCTAGAAACAGAAGAATAATACAATGTCCTCGATGGATAGTATAGTACTCATCATACCCGAAGGATAATGAAGTGACTAAATTGTAACAGAACAGTATTCACCTTGTTCAAGGGACAGTGTAGTAACTAATATATTCTGGCGACAGAGCAGTAGTTAACGTCTTCTAGGGACATTATAGTAATCAAGATACTCAAGGGTCATGGAAGTAATAAATATATTCCCGCAACAGAATGGGAGTCAACATTGAGGATAAGACTGTAATAGTAAATATATATTAACTACTTTCACTGGGATGATTATTATACTGTCCCCTGTTGATGTATATTACTATTCTGTGGTTGTTGATAGTAAATATGTATTATCTACTTTCACTGTGATGATTATTATACTGTCCACTGTTGATGTATATTACTATTCTGTGGTTGTTGATAGTCAATATATATTATCTACTTTCACTGTGATGATTATTATATTGTCCCCTGTTGATGTATATTACTG